AGAGCGTTGTGAGGAAAAAGGATTAAGAAATATGGACAGAGAAGGGATGTGAGAAGGGCATTTAAGCTTTGACGTGAAAGTGAACCTTGCTGCATGTCATAGATGTACTGCTGAAATGTTCTTTTAAGGTTTGTCACAGATCCCAGTTGAGTGCCCCTCTCACAACTCGCTAGACTGCCACAAGGAAACCCAGTGGTGGGTCAGTGGGTGTGTTAAGCCTCTGGATTCTGAACTGAACCCAGCCACTGCCCCAGTCTTGGGGTCCCTAGGCATGCTCTCCGTACACAAATGTTCTGTCTTCCAGCTCTTGAGTGGGTGCTACCCCTAGACTTTGGTCTCAGTGCTGAGGCTTCAGTCTTTTCTGTAGCTTACACATGCCCTCGCTTAGAACTCCACTCAAAGGTATGATTCTTCTGGTTTCCCTCTTCAAGGGGCAACATAGTGGGTCTGAATGCTTAACATATAGACTTTGCATAGAAATCTAAGGCATGCTTTCTCTTTAATAGCACAGGAATTAGAATACAGATAATTTAGAAAACCGTGAACATCCTCAACATAATGCCTTTCACTAGCTCACCCTTTCCTTGGGGAGTCCTTGCGGTCCTCTGCCTCATCCAGATCCCACATGCTGGATTGCTTCTCCCTCCTCTTGAGCTGGAGAAAAATGACCCTGAATAGATCAGTTCCTCCCTTTCTTTTGAACCTTTGTCTCATCTGTCAGGTGACTCCCTCGTCAGCCTCAGTACGTGACCAGAGATTCCCTTACAAGGTGACTTCATTGCCCAGGTGACCTAGGTTTTCCTGGTTGGGAGCCAGTCTGTTGTCTAGAGCATTAAATGTCAGTAGTTGAATATTTAAGTTAAATGACCCTCTATTGTTAGGCCATTGACAGAACAATGGAAGATAACTAGCCCCACATTTTCACTGAAGACCACCACCTTCTCTACGAAGCCAATGACTGGCATGTTTAGGTTGGCACAATGGCGGAAGTGCTACACTCCTGACCTTTTGTTTTGTGTGACATCAGCAGCCACCTAATACCATCCACAAGGTCAGTTCTCAGTGACTTTCCCAACAGCCAACACCACCTGGAAATGATTTACATAGGCTTACAAGTTCTACTTATTTGGTCCCTCCTGGAACCATGCTGGAATCTACAGTCTGCTGACTGGTCCTGTTATGTGGCGATTGTAGAGGGCTCGGTAAACCAAATCCCACCATATCTGGTTTGTTACCACCAGTTTGTAGGTGTACGAATATCGGTGCCAAATTGAACATTGCAAGGGGCTTCAGAAAAGCATTCATTCCTTTGCTGGACGGAAGAGAGCAAGGCACTCTTCTGGCAATATCAAGCTGACAAAAGCCCTGAAACCGCAGTAGCATTGCTTGAGTCTTTGAACTCAGCAAGGAAAAGGTGGTGTGAAACTGTGACGGTGCTTGACTTTACAAGGTCAAGCCACAATACTTGAAAATGCCTCCTTTTCAGACCACCACAGGTAGTGAAGATGCCATCTCCTCACAGTTAATTGCCAAATCCTGTGTGGCAATGGATAAAAACATTTGGTGGTAAGTCCACAAACAACTTTATCACGCAATAAATCCGTGCCAGTTGTCTTCACCCCTTTCTAACCCTCTAAACACTAAATGAAGTGGATAAGGGTCTTTCCAACACTAAGTCCGAGAAAGTGGCAGAAATGGACAGAGTATATCCAAAATTCCTGAAGAAACTTGGTCAAAAGGCAAAAAGGTGGCTGGCAGACATTTTCAGCAACATCCAGTCTTCTGCAGTCATACCAAGAGTGGAAGATAGCCAGGCTCATAGCCATTTTGAAGCCTGGAAAAGAGGCCACTGATCCAAAAAGCTACCAGCCTAACTCCCTCTTTAGCCATTGCTATAAACTGTTGAAGTGGCTCATGCTTCAAAGGTTGCATCTAATACTGGAGCAACTGGTCCCCAAAGAGCAGGCTGGATTTAGAACCAGTCGCAACTGCTGTGATCAGGTGCTGGTCTTAGCCAGATTCTATGTAGCTGGTTAACAGTGAAATTTTAAAATGGGCAGCATTCATTGATCTGTCTTCTGCATGTGATACTGTATGGCACAAAGGTCTCCTGCTGAAGTTGTTAGCTTTTCCATGACAGTCAGTCATCAGACTCATCACCAAGATGCTGAGTAACCGAAGATTCACCTTGGTAAATCTGTCCACAAATTACAGTAATTGAACAACAGCCTCCCACAGAGGTATATTTTAATACCTTCACTGTTCAGTCTCTATACCAGCGACATTCCAGCCACATGATCCTGTAAATTCATCTGTGCAGATGACATTGCACCAACAATGCAAACGTCCTCTCTAAAGGCCACATCAAAGGTCATGAACAGTGAGCTCCAGACACTTGTAATGTATTTCAGAGCTTGGCAACTGAAACAGTGTGCTTCAGAAACACACATCTGTGGCTTCCACTCAAATAACCATGAGGCCAAAGTGCTGCTGAAAGTGGACTTTTGTGGTCTGCTGCTTTTGCCTGACCACAATCCATGGTATCTTGGTGTTACCTTTGATTGGATGCTGAGCTATCTCCAACACCTTGACCAGACGAAAAAGAAAATAGAGACAAGGGTTAAAATCATCCAGAAGCTCGCTGACACATCCTGGGGTTGTGATACATGCACACTTCGAACATCAGTACAAGCCCTGGTCTTGCCCATGTGGAGTATTACGCACCAGTTTTGGTGCAAGCAGCTCCCATGCCAATCTCATTGACATTGAAATCATTGCTGTGCTCAGGATTGTTACTGGCTCTCTCAAATCAACACCAGTACTATGGCTCCCAGTTTTGGCGGGCATTGTGCCAGCCAACATTAGGTGAGAGGTTGCTGTGGTCCGGAAGTACAAGATCCTGATGGCTCCAGACCTTAATTCACTGCCATTCTCCTGACTCAAATCCAGGAAGTCTTTCTGGATCCGTATGTCAACCCTACATGCCAAATGAAAGGATGCCAGCACTCTGGCTCGAATTGTGGGCCTCTTATGGCATCTCAAACAAAGACCTGATTGAAGATCCAACAAAAGAAGTCCTGGGATTTTGTCTTTCTCATAGGCAGTGGACTATACTCCACTGCGTTTTGAACAACACACGAAGGTGTGGATAAGTCCTCCACAAATGAAAAATTAAGGAATCACCAAATTTTGACTCTGTGGTACAAACCATGAGATACATAATGGCAACTGCCCCATTTAGCTTACAGTGGGGGCAGAAGGAGGATCCACCTAGCTACCCTAGAAGTATTAAAATGGCTTTCAAATCTCAAGAGTCAGTTATCTCAACCTGTTGCTTTTCAAGTGTCATTTGAAAGTAGAAGACTAGCCCCATGTTTCAAACTGGAGTTTGGCTGCAGAAAGCTCAGTCTCACACAGAATTAATAAGTTGTATAGATTACTCAAATTGTCACAATGCTATATATTGCTTTTAGTTAAAAGAATCTTGTTGCCTATTGGTAACATAACTGCTGTGTAATCTTTAGAAAGCTGTGTTCATGCCTGTGATATAATAGCATATCCTATTTATAAAATGCAAGAGAAATTCAGTACAGGTTTTTAAATAACATTTCAACAATTTAGGGTTGCAGGAAATGGTGCTTGCAGTACACTCCTTTTTTTTTTTAAACACAATTTGAATTCTTGTCCTTGAAAACTCTAACATTAAGTCTCTTGATTGAGGCCAACACTTAAGTTTTGTGATTATTAATTCTAAAATATACTGAGGCAGTTTCACGTTGTGTGCTAAGACTTCAGCAGTAGTTTTAGAACTATTTCTTGTCCTGATATTGTATAATTGTGATTTGTCTTATGAAATTTTAGATAAGATTTTATATAATGGACTAATTTTATTTACGCTGCTTGCTATGTCAAGTGTCATAATTCCACCTCTGAATGAGGGATTCCCTAATTGGTTTTTATTAAAGTTGAGGTACATAAGATGCAGTTAGTTTTCTTCTGTAACTGATCTTTTAATAAGGGAAAGCTTACATAACACACACAATTCATGCGGGGCAGAGGATTTTTGTATATTTCAATAAAGGTAGATTTGTTACTGGCTTATTTTAATCCTGTCACACTACTACAGACTAAAACATCTCACTTTTTATTTGAGCTTGATTTTTTTCACTGCTCATGGAGGTTTCTGGGCTAAGCTTTCTTAGTTAAACCTCTGCGTATCAGTGCTGGCTCCTGACACTCACTCTCATTTTGGGTCATTTGTACTTCTCACCTCCTAGCTTTTAGACTCTCCAGCTCTAATATTGAGCTTGTTGGACAGCTATATTATTCAGTGTTTTTGTTTCTTTTTGTCAGAATGCTCTAATTACTCAAGGAACTCTTTCACATGCCCCACCAAACAGCTAAAATGGCTGACAAAAGCAAAATGTCTTAAGCTCTCTCATCGCTTCCAGATGTTGTTCCAAGTGATTCAGAGCAAGCCAAGGTTAAGATCAAATAAACTGTTAGGCATTTTTTGCCCTTCCAGGTTATAGACTTTCTTCTTGTAAAATCTGATGTGAATAATAAAGTACATGAAACTTTGAATAAGGCTTGGCACATCTGGGGATTCTGACAACTCTGTGTATATATACACACACAAACACATCACTTTTATGTGTACTCCTACATTGGAGTATGGAGTCACCTTATGGCTTATGCTCTGCGAAAGCAGAGTGGATACTTCATCTATTTTTAAACTTTCTTGTTTTCTCAACCAAGGATAGACATGTTGGTTGTTATGTCTTGCGTATGCAGGTTTGATTGTGTTCAGCCCTCTTGGTTGGATAGATTGCTGTAGGGAATATCACTGGGGATGGAAATAAAGAATTTTATGTATTGTCTAAAGCAGATTCTTTTATAAGGCTATGTAATTAAGTACTTATTTACCCTGACTGAGAAAATATCTGGGGCCCTAATGTATTGTGCCTATTAAAATGTTTTCTAACTTCCTTTTTTAATAGAATGGTCCTAGTGCCAGATCTTGTCACAAGATGTGCATCGATATTCAGCGAAGGCAAATCTACACACTGGGCCGTTATCTCGATTCCTCCGTGAGGAACAGTAAATCTCTGAAAAGTGATTTCTACCGCTATGACATTGACACCAACACATGGATGTTGCTAAGTGAAGACACTGCAGCAGATGGAGGTCCCAAGCTGGTGTTTGATCATCAGGTCAGGTGTAGAGATAAACATTGAGTACACTTTTATTTCCTGGGCTTTGCTTAAAACATTTCTTACCATAGCCCGTTACTAGAATTGAGAAGTGTTTTACCAGGTAATGCAACTAAAAAATATATTGGGAGAAATGGATAGGATGTATTTTTTAAAAACGTATGTTCCTAATTAACAATGTAAATGTTACAGTATAAAAAAACTACTCTATTTTTTTTCAAGAACATGAAGTTATTTGTTTAGTATCTTGTAATCTCCTATAAAGATTAAGAAACAATGCAGCTTTGTCTGGGAAAGCTCGTCTTGCACAGTGATGTCTTGTTAGTGAGTAACAGGTGCTCATCACTGGGATTGTGGAACCACAACCATATTGTAGCCAGTGTTGGGTGTTACTGTGGACAACAATGCAAGAGACAATGGAGATATTGGAAAAAGGGCTTGGGTTTTGATCAAAATTTGGCCTACCTTTCATTTAAAAAGATTTGTGGGGTGTGTGTGTGTGTGTGCATACACGTATATGCACTTCATAGGCATAGGAACTCATTATGGAATTGGCTGCCAGCTTTTCTTTGGAATATTGTACCTTGCAAAATTCAAATTAAAATTGAATTGATTCTTTTTTGCTACTTTTTGTGCCAACCTGTGCTGAGGAGCCACGGAATGTTTTTGTAATTCCATCTGTCCTCCTTCCTTGCGTCTCTTGCTTTTTCCTACTTTTTTGTAACTCCGTTTGTTGTTTCATATCTGAAATAAGTTTTTTGGAGACAGGGATCACATTGTCATCTTTGTACTGAGAGGCACTGTTTGGGTGCTGTAGAATACAGTTATGTTTCAAGCTTTAGAGATTGTTTAATAACAGTACATATCCCTTAATGTCTATATTGCCATAAGATCTAGAGACCTTACAAGGTCAGGGTCCTTTTTTAGAAATAACAGGTAGATAAGACAAACAGGTAGGCTGCTGGAGGAAGAGGGGCAGAGCTGAGCATGGGGTAACAAAAATCATAGGCTGTTTTAATCCTAGTTGTGTGTACAGTCCTTGGCCAGTCATCAGTAATCCTGATTCCCCCGCCTCGCCGTTATCAGATGGTAGCTTTTAGTATATGTTATAACAGGTTATTGCAAACAGAGTAAAAAAGCAAACCACTGACTTCTTCATTTTTACTCTGCTACATAAAATTTTGAATACGCTATTGAATACTCAGAGGTGATCAAAGTGCAGTCTGTGGTTGCCCTCATCTTACACAGATGGGGAGAATGGAGACACTAGACCCTGGCATGCAGTATTGCTTCATGTGGGCAGCCAAGCCACATTGTAAACTGGGGGCCAGTAATCTCTGTGCACTGCATCTGTATTACACATGGAGTTAGCTGTAAACTGCTTCATTTACTACAGATTAAGGAAGGAGGATGTGCTGATATTAACTCATGCTGAATACTGCTGTTCTGCTGGTTACCTCAATGAGCTAAGGGTTTTTATTGGCTGATATGAAATATTAATGTATTCTTGATTAAACTAATGTAGTTTGTATATCTCCTGCTTCCTACAGATGTGTATGGATTCAGAAAAACACATGATCTATACGTTTGGAGGTAGGATTTTGACATGTAATGGCAGTGTAGATGACAGCAGAGCCAGTGAACCTCAATTTAGTGGATTGTTTGCTTTTGACTGTCAATGTCAGACGTGGAAACTGTTGAGAGAAGATTCGTGTAATGCTGGACCTGAGGACATCCAATCCAGGATAGGACACTGCATGTTATTCCATTCGGTAAGAGTTCACTTTGGATTTTAAGTCATAATGCCTGATTTTCGGGGGTGATACCTGTTTAACTTCACTGAGCACATGAATCTTTCTTCAGATTAGTCTTTTGGGTGAGAAGTAAAACAGATATTCGCCACTTATAATTAACAACACTGGCACTGTTTGTAGGAGACAGTGGTAGTAATGTATGTTTTTGTATACTTTAAAATTCACCTTGTGATTTAGTTGGAAATGGTAGTCATCATCTGAACTGACTGCAGTCGTGCGCTGCCATTAAACAACTGTTGCATTCCCTCCTCTCCCTCCCCCTTCAGCGATGGTGCATTTCCGTGGAGTCTGAAGTGATCTTTGCTAAAAGTTGGTAAAGCATTTTGGGATCCTTTGGCCTGATAGATGATCCATATTGTTAATGGAAGCAGTTGGTGACTTGCAGATTATATCCATGTGTTTGAGTGTATTGAGAAAGTAAGGGCCTGATTGTCAAAAGTGTTCAGTACCCAGCAGCTTCTGTTTTTGAAAGGTGCTACCGGGTGCCGAATACTCTTTTAAATCGGGTTACTTCCTAAATTCCAAGGCCAGGAGGGACCACTGCGATCATCTAGTGTGACCTCCTGTGTAACACAGGCCATAGAATGTCCATGAATTAATTCCTGTTTGAGTTAAAACTATCTTTAAGAAAAACATTCCAGCTATGATTGAAAAATTGCCAAAGTTGGAGAGTCTGCCACAATCTTTGTTCCAATGGCTAATTACCTTCACTATTAAAAATGTGTGCACTATCTCCAGGCTGAATTTGTCTAGCATTGACTTCCAGCCATTGGATCTTGTTATACATTTGTCTGCTAGGTTGAAAAGTCCATTATAAAATTTTTGTTCCCCATGTAGCTACTTATAAAGTCCGCTCTTAACCTTCTCTTTGTTAAATTCAAGCAGCTCAGTCTCTTTAGCTTATAACTATAAGGCATGTTCTTTAATCTTTTAATCATTCTCATGGCTCTTCTCTGAACCCCTACATCTTTATCAACATCGTTCTTGGATTGTGGGTACCAGAACTGGTTACAGTATTTATTTAGGGGCTTAAATGTGATCAGAGCTTTTTGAAAATCTCCCCTCCATTGTGGATACTGAGGATTTTCAAAAATGTGTCCTTAAATGCCTAACAGCTATAGGTTTATCTAAGAATTTTGGTGACAATATGAACTTTGATTGAAGTGTGGTTTTTACATATCCCAGGCCTCTGAGATTAGAGTTTCACAGTATGTATAGTTTAGTAGTACATTTTTCACTGTCTTAATACTGCCAACTGAAAACATAAAATTTAAATTGCAGTCATTTATTATGTTCGTATTTTGGTCCCTTAGGAATTCCTATCTCTGTTCATTTAGTAGAAGATACTTTTTTCAAAGTTCCACTTTGTTTCAAATTGCCTTCTAAAGATTTAGAAAAACTGTTAATTTATTTCCACAAAATACTTTCAGGTAACTCTGTGAACTTGTGTATGTTTTGTGCTCACATACATTTTTGCACAAACCAGGGTGGATAAAAATCAGTGATTTAAAAAAAAATCTGATAAAATGCTTTTTGAGGGGAAAAAACCATCTAAGGATAGATACATTATAGATCAAAGATCTCATCATGGAATAGGGATTATAAATTCTAATTCTATAGTATGAGACAATATATTCATGTCATGTTTAAGAAACATTTTGTAAATGAGTTCCAATAGTTCATGGATTAGGGACCCAATTTTATGGGGTTCTAGTGTCTTCTATATAGATTATTTAGGTTAATCTTTCTATCTACCCAGTGGGACTCAGTGCTCAGTCTAGAAGATACCATCACAGATGCTTAGTTCTCAAACTGTGGATTTGTCTCCAGAGATAACATGCTTGTTAACAGCAAAAATGTTTCTTCTTTGAGTGATTGCTCATGTGTATTCCACAATATGTTTGTATGTGCTCGCCACGTGCACCAGTGCCAGAAGTTTTTCCCCTAGCAGTACTCGTAGTGGGGAGCGTCTCCCGTGACCCCTGGAGTGGCACTTACCTGACGCGGTATAAGGGGAGCTGCACGCTCCCCCCCACCCTCAGTTCCTTCTTGCCGCCAGTAAAGGTGTCGGAACTGCTTTGCTCCAGTTTTGCTGTAGCTCATTCCCCGGAACTGTTCGTTCGTTCAGTGTTAGTACCTGTAGTTAGTTAGCCATTTAGTTAGTCGGTGAGCCCGGGCCGGGGCACGCTGTGTGGCTCTTGTAGGTGTTCTTTGCCAAGAAGTGACCTGCATGCAGACTGCTTGCGCTGTTTGGGAGAAACCCATATCAGCGAAAGGTGCAAGATTTGCAAGTCATTTAAGTCTGACCAAAAGAGAGAGGGACATTAGGCTTTGAGCCATCCTGATAGTCAGCGCTGACCTCGACTCTGGCACGGCGCTCGAAACCAGTACCTGGTGCGGTGTCGGTACGCGGCGACCCTCCGATGCCATCGACCAGTCGGCACTGCTCCCCATCCACAGGGCGTGTCAAGAGGGCCAGGAAGACTCCCTCTTTACAGCGGCACTGAGGGAAGTCTGGGACAGAGGCTAGGCCCATGTCGGGTAGTCCTCGAGCCCCAGGCCTCCAACTCACGTTGAGCTGAGTAGCCCGGCCCCTTTGGAACAGACCTGCCCGGATGCCATCCACGCCTGAAGCCCTACAGGTGGCCCGGGACGTTATGTCCATGCCAGTGCCCGGAGCGCCGCCTACGTCAGCCCCATGCTCCAGAGGCAAGCCGCTGTTGGGATCTCTGCAGTCGCCTCTGGCCCGGTACCGGTCGAGGGAGTGTTCCCAACGCCATTCACTACCCAGCAGCCGCTTGGGGCAGAGTCCATGTGGATCGCCCTAAACGCTGACCAGGCTGTCTGGCTGGGTTCCAGCCGGCCAGGACTCTTGGTACCGCTCATCCTCAAGGAGCGAATATTGACAGGACCGTGACGGGCGTTGCTAACAGTCCTTGTCTCGGAGAGGGTACTGCAGTCGGTCACGGCACGGTCGTTGATGCTGTTCCCGCTCGGACTCCCACTTCAAGTCTCTGCCAAGGCATCGCAGCCCCGGGCGTCAGTCACCGCCATCTTGCCGTCCCAGGTCCGCCTGTCTAGGCCGTTTGCGGATTAGCTGTTACTGTCGGTACCGGTCCTCCACGTCAAGATCGTGGCCCTGTGGCTGTCCTAGATCCTGGCACTGCTGCTCCTCCCGGTCCAGAGACAGCAGGAGATATTACACCAGCCTGGTCTCCATTTGTAGCTGTCCTTCAATGGGCTGGGCTAGGCTAGCCAACCTGAACAGACGGCCCCGCCGGTGCCACAGCAGGTGCAGTGGCACTAAGCGTTGTGGCCGGCCCAGTGGTATCAGTGGGCACCGTGGCCTCCAGTGAGCCCCTGGTGGGAGCTCGCTTGGTGCCCGGAGCAATGGAAAGCACCGGCGGCCTCCCTCTCCAGACCCCCAAGAAAGGAGTTGGTGGGACATACGTCCTCGGCACCGTGCCCAGAGTCCGACCAGATGGTGGACCCTCTGGTGCCGACCAATACCCAGAGCACCGCACCGGCCTCTTTGCCCCTCCCAGAGGAGGTGATTGCGGTTCCACCCTCAGGAAGACTTCAGGGCCCACCAAGAACTCTTAAAGAGGGTGGCAGCAAGCTTCCACCTCCAAGCAGAGGAGATGGAGGAGCCCTCAGACTTTGTTTGACGTGTTGTCCCCATCGGCACTGGGTAGGGTGGCCTTGTGTCTCCATAAAGGGGTGGCTAAGATTTCAGATGCCCTGTGGCAAACACCAGCCTCGTTGGCCCCCATCTCTAAAAAGGTGGAATGCAAGTACTTTGTACCCACCGTAGGGCATGAGTACCTGTATATCCACCCGGCGCCCAACTCCCTGGTGGTCGAGTTGGTCAACCACAGGGAACGGCAGGGTCAGCCAGCCCCGACCCCAAAGAACCTCGGAAACTGGACTCTTTCAAAAGGAAAATTTATTAGTCTTCGAACTTTTAGTTACGAGTGGCAAGCCATCAGGCTCTCCTGGGCTGGTATGAACTCAATCTGTGGGGCTCCCTGCCCAAGTTTGAGGACTCCCTCCAGGAGCGCGATAGGAAGGAGTTCCAGGCGCTAGTGGAGGAAGGGGCAACGGTCGCTAGGGCGTCCCTGCAGGCAGCCTCGGATGCTGCAGACACTGCCGCACGATCAGTGGCCTCCATGGTGTCCATGAGACAGGCGTCATGGCTCCTGCTCTCTAAGCTGTCCAGCAAGGCACAGTCTTCCATGCAGGATCTCCCATTCGACGGGAAGGCTCTGTTTGCGGAGGAAACAGATACAAGGCTGCATGGCATGAAGGATTCCCACACGACTCTCCAGACTCTGGGCCTCTGTGTCCTGGCTTCAGTAAAACCTAAGTTCAAGCCGCAGCAGACTCCCACCCAGGCTGCCCTACTGAAGTATGAGGCCGCGCATAAGAAGAAGCGGGACTATAAGAGACGCTCTAGAGGCAGTCTCAGCCTGTCCCCCAGTCTGGGCCCTCCAAGGGCAAGCTGGTGGGGAAAAGGCTTTTTTACGGGACGCTCGGGGGCACCCCGCTAGTCCTCACTAGTCCACCCCCAATAAAGCTACCCTTCTCCAACAGATTGTGTGCTTTCCTCCCGGAATGGTTGCGGCTAACCTCAGACCCATGGGTCCTCAACACCATCTCCCGGGGTTACACCCTCTAGTTTACTTCCTCCCCGCTGAACCAGCCTGCACCCCCATCCCTCTTGGGGGACCCCTCGCATGAAGCTCTGCTCGAGCAGGAGGTGGGGCGGCTCCCTGGACTAGGAGCGATAGAGGCGGTGCCCGAAGTGTTCATGGGCAAGGGGTATTACTCCCGTTATTTCCTTATCCCGAAGGCCAAAAGGGGGCTCAGGCCCATCCTGGACCTCTGAGGTCTGAACCAGTACATGGTGAAACTCAAGTTCCGCAAGGTCTCCCTGGTCTCCATCATCCCCTCCCTGGATCCAGGGTCTGGTACGCTGTTCTCGATCTACAGGATGCGTACTTCCATATGCGTAAATCCACATATTCGAGGGGCACAGGCGCTTCCTCCCTTTCACGGTGGGGCAGAATCATTACCAATTCATGGTCCTCCTGTTTGGTCTGTCCACTGCCCCCAGGGTGTTTACAAAATGTATGTCAGTGGTAGCGGTCTACCTCAGATGGTGGGGGGGGGTCCAGATATTTCCCTGTCTGGACGATTGGCTTGTCAAGGGCACCTCCCGGTCACAGGTGAGGGATCATGTGGCATTCCTTCTGTCCACGTGCACTGCCTTGGGCCTGTTGATAACACCAAGTCCACGTTAGTCCCGGTCCAACGCATAGAGTTTATCACGGTGCTTCTAGACGCAGTGTCGGCCAGGGCCTCTCTCCCGCCAAACAGATTCAAGACCCTGAAAGGTCTCATTGACTTGGTCATAAGGTTCCCGGTGACAACAGCCAGGGTTTGCCTGCAACTTTTGGGTCACATGTCAGTGTGCACGTACGTGGTCCGTCACGCCAGACTCAGGATGAGGCCCCTCCAGCTCTGGTTGGCCTCGAAGTTCTCCCAGGCCACGGACAGGATGGACAAGGTCTTCACCGTGCCGGACTCCGTGATTCCCCTCCCTACAGTGGTGGTCCACCCCAAACAACGTGCTCTAAGGGGTTCCGTTCAGGGACAGGGCCCCGTTGTTGGAGCTGGTGTCTGATGCGTTGGACCTAGGTTGTGGGACTCGTGGGGAGCTTTAAGACCCAAGGCCTGTGGTCGGCTCAAGACCTGATCCTACATATAAACGTCAAGGAGCTCAGGGCGGTGCGGCTGGCATGCATGTCCTTTATGTAGAAATCCATGATTAAATCGAGTCTTCCTGACTAGTGATTTAAATCAAATCCACCCTAGCACAAACTCCAGCTTATGGACATTTTAGACCATTGTCTGTTTAAAAAATTATTTGAAAAAGAGCAAAAGCAGTGTACCTATATGGAGGGACTTAATTAGTCATGGTTGGGGGAAAAAACAACATAAAACTGATATATTTGACTAGTCATTTCTGTCCATTTTGTGTCTAATGAATACATTTGTATTTGGATTACTTTTCTCTCTCGTGATCCAGTTTTTCTTTTGGTTTCTGTAGTGAAGTCATGATCTAGTGTATTTAACTATGAGAATGTTTACCGTGGAGAATGATTATATTGCAAGTACAGCATTGCAGCTTTACTGCCTGTTCGAACAGGATCATAGTAGTTAAACATGGAAAAATTCCTACTAGATCACTTCATTGCTGATCTAATATTTATTGGTAGGATCCAATATTGCTGACCTCTATGTGCAGAACTTGTAATTCAAAAGAGTTACATGCACGCTGGGCTTTCAGGATCTGACCCGGGATCTGAGTTGTGATGCAGTGAGCGTAACAAGATCCAGTCGGTGGAAGTTGAAGTTAAATAAATTGAACCTTAAAATAAAATGTTGTTTCTTAGCAGTGAGGATAAACTAAATATTGCAGCATCTTACCAAGGGAGACAGTGGACTCATCATTGATGTCATTAAAATGAGATTAGATCTATTTGTAAAAGAGATGCCTTAGTCCAGCTTCGGGTTGTGTGCTTGTGGTGAAGCCTTCTGGCCTTGGGATCTGCAAAATCCTCCTGTTCATCACCTTCCTTCATGGGCCTGGGAGAGAATAGGATTGTACACATTGCCCTCCACATGGTCATAACACTTGCAGCTCTACATTCAGACGATAAACATGGTTTATTGTCATGGTTCAGGGCTTCAGCTGGTCACCTGCAGGGGTCCACAAGGAATTTTTATTCCCAATACAATTGGCCAGAAATATTCTGGTTTTTTTATCTTGCTCTGTGGCATCAGAGATGGGCCATAGCTGAAGACAGGATACCATGTGGGGTGGACCAGTTCTTTGAAGTGATACAGTGAATCCTCTTTCTTAGATGACTGATTAGTGAATCTTGCTCTCATGCTCAGGGTCAAACCTCCATAGTTGGAGTTTGGGAAGGAATTTTCTCCAGGTCAGACTGGCAGGAACCCTGGTTGTTTTTTTTCATCATCTTTTACAGTGTGGGGAATTGCCTGCTCAGATCATGGCGCGTATCACGCCAAGTCAATTCCCTGCCTTTGCAAGGTCATGGACACTAATGGCACTTTAATCTTGTGTTCATTGCCTGTGGCACAGCATGTTCTATTGAGGACTGAAATGCTTTAGTTAAATAATTGGGCTAAATATAGGGGTAAAGGGCTAAAATGTAACGGCCTGTGATAGACAAGAGGTCAGACTAGGTGATGTTATGGTCCCTTCTGGTTTTAGGGCTTATAGTTTCATAGAGCTTATTTAAACAAATGTCTTCATAGTTTACCCATGTCATCAAAACAACATAAAAAGCTGAAAGATGAGTGGATTTGTAAGCATAGTATGTTTGAAAGGTTCCCCCAGTAAATGTTTCGTTTAAGAGCAAACTGTTTGCCAAATTAAATCAACTGCTTTATCTGGGGAAATCTTTGGCGGGGGGCAGGAATAAAAATATATTGTGAACACAATTTTAATTTTTTTTTGTACATTTCCTATATGCCCAAATAGCCAAACTAATGTAAATAATTCTCCCTTCTCCAGCTAAAAATGTGCCTGAACTATTGCTTGTTTCCATGATTCGTTGATGTTTCTGCAAATGCTCACTGAACGCTGGTGGGCTAAGAATTTGTTTTCTAGAGCACAGTTCAAAAGTTAAGCATCTGCTTTCCTTTCTCTCCAGAAAAATCGCTGTTTATATGTATTTGGTGGGCAGAGATCGAAGACTTATTTGAATGATTTCTTCAGCTATGATGTTGACAGCGATCACGTGGATATCATATCAGATGGCACCAAGAAAGATTCAGGGATGGGTAAGAGCTTCACTGTATAATTTTGTTTTGTTGGTATAGATGAAAGACTTAAGGTATATAGCAGCAGATAAGACCTCAGTGACGCAGGAGAGAGGTTGTGGTCCTGTTAGATCACAATGGCTTGTTAACAATGACATTCAACTAGAGCTTGCACTCCCTTGCCCACTCTGTACCTGTTAGTTAAATAAATGGCTGACTTCATTCTCCAGAGCTGTCAATTTGACATCTTCACCAGTACTATTTTTAAGGCTTAGAAGTAAATCACAATTTGTTAGGTTTTACCATTCACCACAGTCTTGATGGCCTTCTAGCTATGTGACTTATTATTTCCCTCGTTCTAGCAGATGATCAATGCTCATCTTGCAGCCTATAAAAATGGAATCTTAGCAAAGTATTTGCTAAAATATTTTGTCCCAATCTCTGGCAAATACTGAAAACAAAAGTCCTACATGTCGTTTGTTCCTTAAACCAATGCAGTGTAACACCGCCCCATTTTTACAGCGTCTTTCAAACAAGGAATGTTCCAAAACAGTAAAGAGTCTCTCTTCCAGTTCAGGATTTGAGGAATATATAAAGTCAGCCAAGACAAGAAATGAGCTGTAGAATTGATGAGGCAGAGTTATAGGGAAGGTATTCCAGATGACACAAGCTGCTCAATAGTAACCAGCTTCTGTAATGGGACAGAACTTTTATGCTAAAGGAAATGAAGGGACTAAAGGAGTAGAGGAGAACAGGTTTGTGAGTTAGGCTGGGTCAAGTCTATGTAGAATTTGCCAAGGAGAATGAACCGTTTTGAACTGATCCCTAGAACAAATGGGAAGCAAATGGAATTGTGTGAGAATCAGTGGGTGATTTGATGCAGTTTTTCTCTGCTGAAGGGCAGGTAGAAGGTATTTTGGAATGGGGAGAAAGGGGTTTCAGGGAAGCCATAGGGGGGAAAAGTTGCAATTGTCTAGGCAAAAGGAAATTAAGGCCTAGATCAGGATTTCTTCAGAGGTGCAGTTGAGGCAGTGACTTACACATAGAGTGGCACTCCACACTCAATGCAGTTACTATTCCTGCCCATTGACATTAATGGAAAGGCTCCCACTGGCCTTAGTGAATTTTGCATTGGGGCCATTCTGCCTCATTAGCATTTTTTAGTAAGACTTCCTATGTAAGTCTTTCCTTAGTTTTTCTTTTTTCCTTCCCTTGACATTGGCAGAGAAATCCTGCAGTTCAAGTTTGTTTGAATGGATCATGTGGCTTGCAACCATCTCTATTATGATCTATAAAGAGAATCATTTTGGTTCTAAACCTTTGTCAGGAATGCCATGTTGACTGTATTGGGGGGTAGATGTTTTAGTCTGTATCCACAAAAACAACAAGGAGTCCGGTGGCACCTTAAAGGCTAACAGATTTATTTGGGCATAAGCTTTTTTGGGTAAAAAACCCATTTGAAGAAGTTTTTTCATGCAGTTGATAGATTTCCACTCTATGAAGAAGTGGGGTTTTTACCCACGAAAGCTTATGCCCAAATAAATCTGTTAGTCTTTAAGGTGCTACCAGACTCCTTGTTGTTTGTTATTGGCGGGTGCTTTCAGAAATACCTAAGAATGATTATTAGAGAAAGAAGGTGGGTGAGGTAATGTCCTTTTTTTTTTTTTTTTATCAACTTCTGTTTGTGAGAGAGACAAGCTTACACAGAGCTCTGCTTCAGAAGACGACCTGAAGTTGGTTCGGTAAAAGATATTATATCACTCACCACCTCTCTCTAATATTCGGGGACCAAAACAGCTACAACAACAGAACATGCAAGAATGATTATAACAGAATCAGCAACACTGTAATCATTTTTTATCTTCTCAGTCTGACACTTACTTTCCCCTCTATGGTAGAGTTACAAAATTGCTGATGTACATTTCCCTTTTTACGAAGGAAGGGAGAAATTTTCTGTATGTGCACAAACTGTGTTAAAGTATATAAACACCAGTTTGGCCTTCCTTGCCAAGTAAAGGAAGGGCCATAACTCTATAGAGCTAGTGCCTGTTGTTTCATTGTGAAATTCCCTGTCACATTCAACCCTCAGCAGGGAAGTTTAAAACTGTTGTTCTGTTGTGTGCAATTACATTTCTTTGAGACTATTGTGTATATTTGTAAGACTTTCTCATTTATGCAATTGGCTAATTTTGCCTTCTGTTTACTTATGAAAAACTTGGGAAACAAATCACGTTTAAAAACAAGCTTCCACCCCTTATTTTGATCACTTTTTTTTTAAAAGGCAAGTACATTGGTTATTGGTTATTTCAGTCATAGACTCTCATAAGTTGCTGTTTGCTCACTTGGGTTAATTTGGTCATCTAAAGATTGAATAAATCTCCAAATAAGGGATAAAAGTTCATGATACTTTTCCTGCAAAGTGATTTTTTTTCTCTTCACTGTGTTCCTGGGGGAGATCCAGATTGCATTATGTTCACAATCTTATTTAAATGTTCTCTCTGTGCTTGGAGCTGCAGCGGATCCTTCTTCCCTCCCACTCCCTCTAAAAAGACATTGCCCACAGTTAAAAGGAAAGAATATCCTTTACTAGTCTGCTTGCACTTGGTTGTTGAGGGGAATTGTTTTGAAAATCTGAATGGCAACCATTTTAGTGTGTGTGTGTGTGTGGGGTGCTTTTTAATGAACACCTGTGATGAGTTCAGAGTTTAGAAACCAGACTTGTCTTATGACTAGTGAGCACAATGAGCCACATTTCTCTGGCCAAGTATATTAATTGCACGTTTCAGTTAGTCAGACAAGTGAGAACATAATAATTAGCCCTCTTTCCCCCCTCCCTCCAGCCCCTTTAATGTTGAATAGCAGACTGTGACTAAATGACTCATTAGAAATCATTCATGAATAGATTTCCAGTTTGCTGTCCTCATGTCTGAGAAAGTAAATAAACAACTTTGAACATTTCCCTTGTTTGTGAAAGGAAATGTTAGAATTATTTGCTTTTAACAAGAACAGAAGAAAGGCCTATTATATTCGAAACCACAAATGCTGTCCGAATTATTTTGGTCAAAGAAAGCAAGTCTGGATTGGAGCCCCTTTAAGCATGTTTAGTAATGAGGCACTGGTTTAGTAAAAATAATTCTGTGACAGGCCACTTTAATATAAACTTGACCCATCCATTTAAATGCGGTTAAGAATGCTTATAGACTCATAGATATTAAGGTCAGAAGGGACCATTATAATCATCTAGTCTGATCTCCTACACAACGCAGGCCACAGAATCTCACCCACCCACTCCTGCAATAAACCTCTCACCTATGTCTGAGCTATTGAAGTCCTCAAATCACGGTTTAAAGACTTCAAGGTGCAGATAATCCTCCAGCAAATGACCCGTGCCCCATGCTGCAGAGGAAGGCGAAAACCCCCCAGAACCGCTTTCAATCTGCCCTGGAGGAAAATTCCTTCCCGACCCCAGATATGGCGATTAGCTGAACCCTGAGCATGTGGGCAATATTCACCAGCCAGATACCCAGGAAAGAATTCTCTGTAGTAACTCAGATCCCACCGCATCTAACATCCCATCACAGGCCATTGGGCCTATTTAGCCTGAATAGTTCAAGATCAGTGAATTGCCAAAATCATGTTATCCCATCATACCTTCTCCTCCGTAAACTTATCTAGTTTAATCTTGAAGCCAGATAGGTCTTTTGCCCCCACTGCTCCCCTTGGAAGGCTGTTCCAGAACTTCACTCCTCTGATGGTTAAAACCTTAGTCTGATTTACATGTTAGTATCTTTAATGCATTGTACTTTCATTTTGCTCCTGGTTTTCAGTTGTTGTATCAGATCCCAAAGTCTTACAATTCAGTTATATTTTTAGCCCAATGTATATCTGATGCCTTTTCTGCTTGGGAGAGCACCATAACCCCAATAGGTGCTCTGTACCAGTCTGTCTCCTCAGGGACTCAAAAGTCCAGGGACAGTTGGCTCAAATTATATCTTCTAGACCAGTCTGTGGGATACCGTTAACCCTGAGGAGATGCCAACAGCCAGACTGGAGCTTAAAAATCTTCGGCTAGTGCTCCCTTGAGCAGACACCATACTCTGGGCTTCCGGAGAGAAGTCGTCATCAAAGAAGATGCCAATAACATTGCAACCTCAACACCAACTATCTCAGCATGGGCAGCAATGGCACAAGTTACCTTGGTACTGAATCTGACCATGCTGGTCCCGTCACACCAAAGGGCAGCTTCAAGAGGCAAGACCAGATGGAGCATAAACATGGCTCCATCGGGGAGGGATAGCTCAATGGTTTGAGCATTGGCCTGTTAAGTCCAGGGTTGTGAGTTCAATCCTTGAGGGGGCCATTTAGGAATCTGGGGCAAAAATTGGGGATTGATCCTGCTTTGAGCAGGGGGTTGGACTAGATGACCTCCTGAGGTCCCTTCCTACCCCAATATTCTATGATTCCATGGCTCCAAGCGCCACGTGGAAAGATCCCGCAAGAGGACGTCAGTGCCACTCTTCCAAAGACACAGCCTCCAAACTCCTTACATCTGCGAAATTGGAGGAGGCAAGGAGCTTTTGGTCCAGTGCCAATCTCACTACTGACACCTGCACCAGTAGCTGAGCCTGTCAAGGGTCTGAGTTGTTATACCTCAACTGAAGAACTGGAGAGGTGCTCCGCACCAAAACAGCAGCTGGCCCTAGGGGAACACCACTCTGTGTCCCTACCATTTGAGGAAGAATACTCATCACCCTCTGTGACCTATTAGTTCTTGCTGGCATCAAGTAGGGATTCCTATCCCTTACTGTCGGAGGACTCCCATTCCAAGCCCTGTTTCAAGCAAGATATTAATGGCACTGGGCTGGCCAACTTCAGCCTAGCCAGTACCCCATAGCATGCTCCCTTGGCCATACTGGGGACTATCATCCTATATGTACTGGAGCAAATTCTCCTCCTGTTCCGCAGTGAAGAGGAAGATATCCTGCTCCCCAGCAGCATCAATAGGAAGGCCACTGACTCAG